AGTTGATCCCAACTATCAATAGATCCAGCCTCGAGGTCTGTGTACCAGTCAAATGCATTTCCTTTTAGCGAGCGCCCAAACTGCTTGACGAGGTAATCTTCATAAGTCCCAGCATTGTTGCACGTCTCAACAAAGTGCGCCACATGTTGCTTTGGATAACCTTTACCATCAAACTGTTGAAACTTTGGAGGTTGATAGCCAACAAACATCTTCAACATATCGATCCTTGTAGTGTACGACTTTGCATATGTAAGGGAGGACTTGGCAGCAACTTCATACTTGTTCTTAATAGTTCCTTCAATGAGTTCCTTTAGTTGATCAATTGGAATCACCCTTTCAAATGAGACAGGGGGTAGCCTTAGTGGATGCTACTTGTCTTGGGGGAGAATCACTCTCTAGAACTTCTAGGATCTCGCCAGGTACGTGGGTGGATTCTTCTTCCATCAAATTTTCCACCTTATATGTTAGCTTGTCAATTCTAGCATCTTGATTCATGCACTTGGTCAAGCCAGCGATTGCTTCCGTCAAGTTTGCCTACTGCTCCTCCACAGATAAAGTGTTTGTCACCATGGCTTGCATGATTGTTGTGGGTGATGGAGTGTAGCATGGATTGTCACACAGATTGATCTTCGATTGGCTCATACTATGTGGTGAAAGTGGAGAGGATCCATCACTTGAAGCATCATCGTCTTCCTTTACAGCAGAGTTCCTGGATCCGGAGAGGTCAAGCAGAACAAGAGTTTTCTTAATCTTTTCAGCAACATCGCTTCCTCCTTCGGGTGCATTTGTGGAACATCTTGCTCCTTTTGAGGATGAAGATCCGAAAATAGGGATTGATGCAGAAGGCACTTAGAGTGCTTGTTGTCCTAAAGAGCTTGCATTGCTCCTAGTAACTGGTCCAAAGCTTCCAAAGGTAACATCGAGAATTCTTTCCACATCACCGTAGAACCTGAAATTAGCAGCCTTGGTGGAAGTTGATCCGGAGTTGATTTTATTTGAAGTCATTTTGACGTTCTTGGACTTTAGAGACAGAAAAGTTGAGATGAGAGGTAGAGATTGTCCCACCGGGCATGCCAGAATTTGTGGACAATAAATTACGTCAAGGAAATAAAATCAAGACCGAAAAATATTGCAACAATCGTAGTATTTGATTTCAAATAATTGAGTATACAATCTCTATGGTTCCTCTAATTCTAATTTCCAATAGTAAATAAATCCAAGGGCCTTTAAGCATGATCTTGAATATGTAGTTGTTGGCATGAACGATGATCTTGAATTCAACTAGCACGAACTTTGATTTGAACTTGTACTCCTTGAATCTTGATTTGTTCTTCGTTCTTGAACTTGAACTTGATTTCTTCAACTTGGATTTGATTGCTTGAGCTTGAAACTTGTAGAGAAATTTGCGACGTTTGATCCACGAGCTCTCTCTTTCTTCTTGTTATAACTTTTGGTATTTTTTCTAAGTTATGAAGACCCTTATTTATAGTTCTGGGGGGG